AATCTACTTTAACAACCGTTGTGTCATTGGAAGAAAGGGCCGGGACACGTCGGACCTGTGTGATAAAAGCTCAGGTTTGCATGCAGAAACCAAAGATGAAGAGAATCACTTTGTTTGTTTTGTTTTTTTACAGTCACATCTGAACCACAGAGAGCTGCCATCTGTCACTCTGTCTGGCGGAAGGCGGTCTCTGATGCAATTTTTATTCTTTTCCTCGCGAATCTGCAAGTGCCGTCTTCCACAGGAGCTGCTCAACTGCTGGGATCGCTGGGGTTTTTTTTTAACAAACGCCACAAGGCACAGTGTGGGGATGGTGTCTGTCCACACAACAGAGGGGAAATCGGAATGTAAAAAAAAAATTACAAAATGGAGGAAGTTATCGATCGTCGCTTTTTTTTTCCTGTCTTTGATTCAAAGCCCTTATCCACTTGTCCTTCAGACGCATGGATGTTTCACTTGTTCCTCACTCTGCCATCTTGTTGAAATGGGATTCCCAGGGATTCTGTAAGAAATGGCTTGATGAGATTCTTGGATCAAAGAGTCATCCTCGATGTTAAGAACGCATGCAAGCAAATAAATAAAATAAATAAATCCATAAATAGGCCAGCTGCCTAACAGGACACAAGCCGTACAAGGAAGATTTTGAGGAGTCTGCAACATCTCAGATCTCCACACTGCTCCATATCCAGGGGTTAACGTCGTACCTCTTCACTCTTCAGGCTTCACTCTGAATCTGATTCTCTGAACTTCGTCACAGTATTAATCGAAACAGAGCTGTTAAATAGTTCTTTTTCTGCCTCGAGCATGAAAAAGGACTTTTTTGCCCTTTGAAATGAAGCTTTGTGGAGATCCTTGTGTCAGCTTCTAGTCTGAGGAGATGGTGCTTATCTTCGTAGTGACTGTAAAATGATTGATAACTTAATGGGGTTTGATGGGGGTTTTGATACTATAGAAGCAAAGTAACACTATTTTAATGATCCTTATTGCTATAGTCTATTCTTCACTCGTTTTAAATAGACTTTGTGAACATGATGGTTCTTTAATTAAATTTTCAATCTAACATTAAGTCCTGCTATACAACGGTAGTGAAACGTCGCTTTCCCCCCTCTCTTGGGGAAAGATGGGATCTTTCTGCGTCTCCAGTGTGGTCCCAGTGACTCTGGGGCTAGCTGCGTCTGTCAGCTCAGTTCCCATTCCACCACAACCAATAATGAGATGAAAATTAAAGTGCAAATTAGTCCTAGGTGTTGAACCACCCAGACAATCTGATAATTAGAAAGCTGGTGTGAGAAAACAGTCACATGGTGAAAACTGAAGGCACTGTAGTGACAGTTTCACCTTTTGTTTGACTGGTTCATTAAGACAATTACAACAATATTGTAACAATTACATTTAGAGCTGAAGTGAAAAATCAAAAGCCTAGAGTTGCTGATGTAAGTATTGACACTATCAAAAATCCAATTAAATTAAGTGCAATACATTTCAAGTTGTGCCTTTCCTAATTACAGTGCTCTAGAACTACAGTATAGGTGTGAATACTTGTCTCCAGCTCTATAAGATTGTAAGATATGTTTATCTTATAATTCAGTCTGTTCAATATGATTGCACAAGGTTACTTTAAGAGTGACAGATGAGGAGGGGAGAAATCTATCTTAAAGCTCAAAGTTGATAAAGGGATTTGGCATGTTGGAAACTACGGTGTGAAATAATCTTTCTATGGCGTGTGGAGATCTACAAATCTGGAAAGTTTAATAGCAAGCATCACAGATGGACAACCTGAAACATAACCCAGTCATCTGTAAGAAGTGCTAGGGCCAAAAGTGAGAAGGCAAAAGTGCTGGTTTGGCGCAGTTTAAAGGTGCACAACCCACGAGTGACCTTAATTTACATGTCCCCGAATCTGTCCATAAGATGACATCAGTGCTGCACATCCTTATCAAAGCAGGAGACCTAATCAAAGCATCCCATCACTGAAGACCCTTTTTTTTAAAAGCGTTTTACAGACATAACGCCAGAAATAGCTTCACAAGATTTTCCCGTGAGCAGAGCCGCTTGAAGTGGGCCCCGGCTCTATTTCAGAATTGTTGTCCTGAAGTTTTAAGATTTAAGAAAAAGAAAATCTGGTTTTACTGACTTCTGTTTTTTGCTGCCAGCCACAGTCTCAGGGGTTGTGTGTGCTTGTGAGATTTTGCTAGATCTGACGAATGGACGGGGCCTTGTTCTGACAGGCTGGCCTTTCAGCACAGGACAGTCGTAGGTGTGCAAGAGCTGCCTTTTCATTTTCTGTGGCTGCAGATGAAGTCTGTTTCCAGCTGCTCACTTTGTTCCTCCAGCCTCATAACTGTTTAAGCAGATGGGAATTAGTGTAAATTCAGTGGTCCTGGGCGAGATGTTTATTTAACTGAACAGGGATGCGCTTCTCAGTCCTCCCCAGGGGGAAAGCTGGCAGTGAATTCCTCTTCTGTACCGTTATTTGCACCGAAATGCAATGCAAAGGCTTTTATATTATTGATGGGGAAAACCAAAGCAGCGAAACCCATTTGGATGACCTTTTGCTCCGAAAGAATGCCTCAATCTGAGGGATTGAGAGGAAGGGAGGGGTGGCTGGGCATGATTAGGAACCTTGTGTAATCTCAGATTTGCTTTTTTTTTCTGGATGCCACTGGGATTTTACTTAGTGGATAGGATGTACTTTTGCACGCGAGAGAGGAAAAAGAAAAGAAAAAGGGGGTAGAGAAGAGAATGGTATAATGCCTGTCGCTTCCTTGTGCGGAGGGTCGTTGTACTGTTAAAGGATGTTCATTTTTACAGCTCACTGCACCCCAGCAAAAATGCTCATGGAGATGACAGGGTACAATAGATTGTATTGTAACTCCCTCTGACGAAAGGCTTCAGTTATACAATGCCTGGGGTTATTTCTGTGAGATACAGAATGTGGTTAGTGAGCGATACTGCAGCCTCACTAACAGCACCTGACATGGGGGTCACAGAGGCCGTGCTGTGAGGAGGAGTGAAGTGGAGTGGGTTTGGGTGTGGAGTGGAGGGTTGTCTGCAGTCTTACAGAAGAAAAATATCAATTAGTGCCTTTTATTGTCAGGTTCAATCCCTTCCGGGGCTTCTCGTCTGGGAAGGGCTCGTGGAAATGTAACCAAATGCAGATTCCCAGGGAGTCTACGGGGAACGGGTCTAATGTATTTGCATAATGTGGGAAAGTAGAAGTAACAAAAGAGATTTTAAATTACATTCATAGGTTGACTATGTTTACAACTGCCCCACAGGCTTTGTGCCAATACTTACGCACTGATCTCAGGTCCGGAAAGCCAGCCTATATCATCAGATATTTCATGATGCTTTGTGGGTGTCTTTGCTGTTTGACCTCAGGTTGGAGCCCAGGCAGACGCCAGACCTCCTACATTTTAATGGAGTGGTTGGATGGATGAGATTCTTGAATCAATTAGTCACTAAATACCATCACGTATTATCTAGTTTTATCTAGCTGTAGATGGGCTGAATGGCTCCACTCTCATCTATTTGTAAATGGTCTTATTTCAATTATTTTTCAGTGTTCTTTCACTCTACAAATTCTTCTTTTGTTCTGTTATCTTTTTTTTTGCCTCAGAAATGATGTTTTGTGTCAAAATGTCACAACAAAATGTTGTGCTGTCTTTCTTTCCACCTGGCAGTAGAGAACAGGAAGGAGTAGCAACAGTTTGCTTCCACCTGACTGCAGTTGGCCTTTGAACAGGGCTACAAGCTTAATGAAAGAAGCATTTGGTCTCGCCAGAGCAGTCTGCTACATCCCTGGGCTCATCTGTAGCTCTGTGGGGAAGCAATTGATTCAGGCATTTTCCTCTTTCTGCAAGGAGGAAATTAAAGTTACAAGATAAGTGTTGAACCTGCTAAGACACTGTGTTTTTGTATATTAACGAGTTTTAATTTTAAAATAATAGAATAGGAAATATGTGGATTCTAAAAAAACCTCAGATATTTGCTTCTTGGGTTATGTTTCAGGTTGTCCATCTGTGATGCTTGCTATTAAACTTTCCAGATTTGTAGATCTCCACACGCCATAGAAAGATTATTTCACACCGTAGTTTCCATCCGAACTTGCATGTTGAAGGCTGGGGCAGTGAAGGCGTGAAATGCTTTTGATGGAAGAAAATTGAGGCTGTTCATTTAATTACAGCTATGCCTCAATCAGATGTAACACAGTATGACGTTTAACCAGCTTAATGTAACAGCTGGTAGTTTTGAAATAATACATGTATATCCTAACCTTGCGTTTGGCATTGTCTCAAAGCCTGCCTCCCTCTGAGATAAGTACGACACACAAGATATCAGCACTAAAAATATTACCAGCTGGAGACAAATCAGATTGTAGGAGGATTTTTTTTTAAAGTTGTGAAAGGAATCTTGGCTCTGTGCTCATCTTCCTGTGTGGAGCACAGTCTCTTTTTTGTCTTTTACAGTCATCATGGCCCCTTTTTTACACGAGGTTAGCTCAACTAAAATGATATTTTTTGTATCAGGCTTTCCCGTCAGTGTAGGCTAATTGTCATTTTCAATTACGACCACCCTGCACTGCACTGCGCCTTGATGTCAAATGGTTCAGCTGCAATGATGCTGAAGCAGGTGGTAACTGAGACTTGAGTGACAGCTGATTCCTTATATATTCCACCCATAGGGGGAGCACATGAGCAGTGTTGAGAAACATGCATGCACAGTGTGGTTTGGCTGTTTTTCCTCACTCAAGCGCTGCTTAATGAATCTCCTTTATTAATTAATTAGACAACTTGAACTCTTCTCTCTGGGTCTCCAAAATGGCTTAAAGGTAACTGGAGTCAATCTTCTCCCTTTAATCAACCACAGAGGATATTTTAATAATGTCCTTTTGAGCAACTCGATCAATGACATTGATTTAGCAGCGCACATGGGAATGGGAACCAGAATGAGCCTGTAGCCCTCTCCCCTCAAGTGAAGGTGCTTGTCTGTCTCCACAGGGAAGGTGCTGAACACCGACCTGCGCCATTACCTCAGCCTCCAGTTCCAGAAGGGCTCCCTGGACCACAAGCTGCAGCAGGTGATCAGGGACAACCTCTACTTACGGACCATCCCCTGTGAGTACTGCCCACCGCCGCATCCTGCAGTCCTCTGCCATCGTATATACCATCATGTATCAGAAGGCTCTCTCCCACGCAGGAATATCCAATAACATAATGGGTTAGCCCACTTTCCCCACAGGCTGTCCACCCCCAGGCTTAACTGTCAGCTCCCTGCCTCAGTGTCAGCATCCTGCCATGATTCCGAATCCTTCTTTGCCTGTGCTTGGAGTTGTGCGACTGAGGTGGCGTGTCTGTCGCCTCTGTACATAGTAATGTGTCAGGGCTCTCTGAACTGTACTGCATGAGCAGAAAAGGAGCTTTTCATGTGCACCATCCATGGTGGGAGGTAATGGGAGAAATGCTGTACATAGGCAACTTTCTGCAGGGGTGTATCTTCATTGTTTTCTCCCCTGTAGTACACTTTGGTCTGTTTCACTTTTACCTAAGCTAAATTCTGACCTACATCTGGTATATACTGAAAGTATTCTACACATTCTGTTCTATACTGTACCCTGATCACCTACAGTATGTAACTGTTACACTTTCCTATACTAGAGTGCCGAGCTCTGCATTCTGTGAGTGTTACTCGGCCTCACTCCATGAAGACCTCTGTAAGGCTGAGGACTTGTATATAGAAAGAAAAATAAAAACCTGTGGCACCCTGAGGAAGTATCAAAATAAGTGGATCAAATATCTGTGGCATTCAGCAGGGCCAGTTTATTCTAGCAATTAAATCTAAACAGGGTCAACTGGACAGGACAAATTGGTTACCTTTTATAATGAATTACGTCTATATTTTCACATGGAAATTGATCAGTTTCAAAGTTCAGAAGTACTAGATTAAAATAAATCAAATTAAAAAAGTAAATAACATTTCAAATACTATCCACTTGTATTTAATCATTCTTGCAGTGCCAAGACCATACCGTTAACACAAAAAATGGACGGCATACTGTATGGCCCATCATCAAAGTGCAAGTATTTTTGTTTCAAGAAGAATTGGTTTCCATGAAAACAAAAACAGCGGTCTGCCAGCCCTGGACATCTCAGTGATGTCAATTTCAATCAGTTTATAAACCATGAATAATAAATCATGAGCCATATTTGCTAAAATGCTGATAACTTTCCTGAAATCTGTCACCCTGAACTCTTATAGACACAAAGCTTAAGTAACAAGATAACTAAACTGGCCTTGGTCTGCAGGCTGTATCACAGCAAATTGGTATTAACGCTTTGAAGGTGTATGAAAAGTGAGCAATTCACACTGACACTGCACCATATATTAAAGATGCCGCTGGCACAAGTATAGGGCAGTTGGGATAATTAAGTATTATTGGGAAACAAATACAAACAAATCAATAACAGAAATCACTACACCTACCAATGCATATGTAATTCACTTCTTGCTGGACAATTCACTGTGGATTTTGAAAATGCCAAGGATTAATGGTCTTAATTTCACAACTCTTAATGAGCCTCTTCAGATAAAGGGCTGCTCTGTCAGTCACTCTCTCCCTCAGAGTCATGTCGGTCAAGTGAAGAATTCTCCTCATTTCTTGCCTTTTTTCTTTTGTTTTTGCTCCAGTGAACAGATTCCTTTTGACAAGGGCATACTGTTCTTAATTTATCTCTAGATCCATAAGTTTCAGATATGCCAGCCAGCCCAGGGGAGCCAGCATTATGTTGCTGTATCTTTTTGTTTAATTGCAAGGCTCATCCAGCCAGCATAATTTCCAGCACGTTTCGTAGAATAGTAATCAACCTGCTTGCAAAAAGTTCATAATTGCTTTTCGTGATCATTAGATTTGAATGCTGTAACAGTCACAATTTAAAAGAAGTAAAAATCCTTTAATACGATCCATGGTAATTACCAAGATGTGCTTATTGCAAAGTGTGATTTGCACCATTTAGCTAGTAATTACCTGATATTTCACAATTTACCACTGCATAATCTCAAATTGCTTAAAGATAATGATTTCCATTTTTTCAGGGGGTTTCTTATTTTTAGCTTTCTTTTCCCAGGCAAGCTGCTTATTTACTATTGTTCACTTTAGAAAATGGAGTCATATTGTCTAAATAATTGTAATAAAGTATAATGAAGAGTTTTTATCACGTGATGTGTTGAATTTTGTGGGAGCCTGTGCTGTTAATTGAGGTTGAGTTTAAAACTAGAACCTTTACTGCAGATTTGTTTTACTTTGACCAGCTGTCGAGGCCTAAAGTGCACACAAATCTTTATAATAACACATGATAAACAGTACACTCACTGGTTACAAATATTCACCAAATGATGTGTTGGACCTCTGTAAGCAGCAACAACAGTTTCAATAGCATGTCTTTCAGAAGGTTTTGAAACTTCTGCAGCCCAGTTTCATTTCATTCTTCCATCAGAATGGCCTTCAAGTGAGGTTATGATGGAAGACACCATTGTATGAGAGTGAATTCCACAGGCCCAGCTTCCAGAAAGATGTTTTGGCCAAGGAGGTGATGGGAGTCTATCTTGTTGCTCCTTAAACCAGCCATCCATTGCAAGTCATTTCCTTTACAAGGGGGTTTGTAATGTTTTGGCCGGTGAATGTATAACTGGAGAAGTTCTTCCCTTGTGGCTAGTCAGAGTCCAGGATGTGTGGTCTCTTTGTGTTTTCAGGAGTATTACTGCTAGATAAGGGCTGCCTAACAATCACACCCTTCCTTTCAGTGGAGGGCAGTCGAATCTGAAGATCTCACAGCATTAGCAAGAGAAGTAGCCACATATTTGACGATTATAGTGTCAGAATTTGTCTTCAGTGTGTTCAATAGAACGGCAAAGTATTACAAGATGTAGTGCATTACTCTGAAAGGTGCTCAGTGTGTTCCTTCTTGATGATACGAGTCCTGAAATTAAGGCAGGTCTTGGTTTGTCAGGAGAAATTGGTGCCTGCAGTAGAAAGAGACGCGTCATCCTGGGCATGCCTTTGCAGCACTGTGATCTGTTTACATTTCCTGGGGTCTGTCCAATAAGCTCACAAAAACGTTTCTTAAAAATACGGTTTTACATACATTTAAAAGACCTCGGGCATTCTTCAGTCTTAGAAATACACCAGCACCAGTTTCTGGATAATTCAGACTTTCAAAAGGTGTGGCTTCAGCACTGGATTGTCATCTACTGCTTTTGACCAGGGTGTGGCACTGTTCCCAGTATCATTCCAGGGTATAAAACAGGATCAGGATATTTTAACTTTTGTTTTAGTAGTATAGTATGTATTTAATTTGAAATATTCCAAATTCCACTTTTCTAATGTGTTTAGGTCTTTTATAAGTTTTGAGGAAGCCAAATCACGTTGTGACTATTAATGAACTCTGATGTCTTTGTCACTGCATGCTTAAGCAGTTCTGAACTCTTCACTTAAGATACGTTTCATGCTTTTCATTTGAAAGTGCCTAGCTGATGGTTTTCAGTAGTAATTAGCATCTTTGATCGGTTTGCCAGATATTTGTGAAATGACTGTCATACATTTTTTTCTTTTTCGAAACACTGCTTTTTCTATCACTAATAACCACAAACTAACCCGTTTTGAGTACGTCTTCCTGGTAAATTCATCCGTAAACACTCAAGCAGACAGTGTGCAAAGTTTCAAAGTTCAAAGCCACATTAATTAATATTTGATATTAAAAATCCATGCTGATATTTTAATGTAAAGGTCAGTTTGATTTTTTGTTAAAAATGCTAATTTGTGATTTTTTGCTGATTGTGGGGTTTTATGATTACCTTTTACAAAAGGCAGTCATAAGGTTTTGTATTTTTAGGACTTTCATTGTTTCATTATGTTCCGGAACAAAAGTAGTTTTAGGCGGAAGCTAGCTTTCATTTTTGTGTTTATTTTTTTACTCCACTTAAAAATGTCTCTGCTGTTGCCCTCTGTGACAGTCATGAGTGTGTAAACTGTAATCATCCACATGATTTTCATCTCCACTGCGCAGCAGCAGTGGGGATCCGGTGAAAGTCCGGAATAATGACGGGGAGTGAAACACTCAGCTTTGTCCTTGATAGGCTATAGCTAGAGGACGTCCCAGCAGGGCTCACAGGACCCAGTGCACACATCATCCCTCTGATTTATTCCTGCCATATAAGGACAAAGACCAGAGTTTGCAAATCTCTGCTTATGTTATTTATGAAGCACACATTTCATATGGCATCATCGGAGAGGATTATTGTGTGCACTGTTGGGAAGAAGAAATCTCTGGGAGACTTGGAGATGCAGCATTTTAATATTATTACTGTAGTGAGCTTCAAAAAATCTTATAACCTTATAACTGCAACAGAGTAACAAAGTAATCAGGAAAATGAAAATGTTTTTGTAGCAGGTATACTGATGTGTTGTTAAACAGATTAAACATAGTTATTCTGTTTTAACACATCAGCAATCGATGACTTTCCATTTAAGCTCTTTAAATCAACAGTTCTCAGTCCTGATCCTGGAGTACCCCAATGTTTGCTGATTTTTGCTCCAGCTGAGCTCTTAATCACTGGTAACAAGAGCTGAAGAACCCATAATGATGACTGTGGAGCTGGACATCAGAAGTTTTGTGCATCCAAATAACCTTGGAATCTTAATCTCATTTGCTGGGCAGTAAATTACCTTTAATCTCTTTATTGTAATGATCAAGGCCTTGTTCTGGGACACTAATGAAATCACATTAGGCTTCTTGGTAGATAGTATCTGTTTTGTGGAATTCTGCCCCATTCCTTTCAAATAGCCTGGACAAGCATGTGCCTGTTCACTGGACTCTGTGCTGTAGATACTGTGGTGTATTAGCTCATCCCACAAATGTTCAATGTGGCTCAGGTCTGGTGAGTGGCGAATCCAAGGCATACAGTCACTGCTGCATTCTCATCTCACAAGAAGGTCATTGTTTCATAAGCAGCCTGCAGAAAGGGCTCAAGTGATTGCCAGAAATTGATCAATGCAGCACCATGTGGTTCATGTTGCCATCAATCACTACAAGACGAGTTCTGGAGTGACTAAGCGCTCCTGTCCAGATCATCGCACTTAGATGATGATGTGTCATGACTTCTAGTGTCTTAGATCATGGCCTGTCACTGATAGAATGTGTTTGCCTGTTGCATCTTTCCAGGCTGGGAATTGCTGACTGTGAATGCCCTAGCAACAGAGTGCTTAGTCTAGTGTTCTACAGTACATACTTAGAGCACAAAGGCAGTACTATCATGATTAGTAGGACATATCGGTTCCTTTCTGTACATTTTCTTTCTTTATTTTCACCATGTGTTGTTTAACAGGTCAAATCACCTCATCACCTGTACCCAATGGACTGTCTCACTAATGAGGTGATTTATTGCTTATACAGTTAGTCGAATACATCACAGTCTGTCATGAAGGATTTTTGTCAGATCATCAAAATGATGCCAAAGCTATCTCATCAGTATTCAAAATCCATAAGTGGGTACTTTATTTCTCTAAAGTGTATTTGCATAAATAGTGATCGGTTTCTTTTGATGTTTAGTACTTTTTTGTTTGGCTTAGGCTTGCACCAAATCAAAATGTGGACTCACTCTACAAATGTGAAGTACAAACCCTTTGCCTGATAGCAGATTTCTTTTTGGTAGAAAGAAGAGAAGCCTCCAGCACACAAAAAAGCATTCTCAAACACTGGGTTTACAGTTTGTGATCAGTGGGTGGCTTAAAGCTAAGAATTTGTTTCTCGGCTTAGGCTGAAGGGGACAGGTGGTTCTAGTTGAGTTTTTTGTAACATCTTGGACTCTTTGCTCACTTCAGACACAAATGACCTCATTGTTCTCAGATTGTACACATTGTTTCTTGAATGGAGGTTGAAAAGACGGGATAACTGTAACCTCTTTGACTTTTGCAAACATGCTCAGCTGTTCTCACTCTCGTCGCCTTCCAGTGCAGTTGGATGGTGATCTTGTGCTCCGTGGGTGTTCCATATTTCCTTTTCCGTGAATGTGCTGCTTATGTGATCCTGACACTCAGCCAGCCAAACTGCTTTTCCCTTGTTATTGCCCTGTAGAGTCAATTTGCTGTTCAATGGCTCTAGATTTTTACAGTAGGGGAAAAAAAACTGTTACTCTTGTTTTCTTTGTTGCAAATTTTATTTTATATAGGGCCTCTAAAAATGGCTTTTCCAAGTGCAAGTTACAGAAAGGAAAAAGCACACAATGAGATGCGATGTCAGAATCAAAGTTTGGATACAGTAGGAAAGCATAGGGGCCGATGCAGAACCAATTAAATAAACGCCCTTCTAAAGAATGTTTTGAGTATTGATTGGAAAGAGCTCCGGGAGGTGACTCTGATATTCTTGGGAATTCCAGAGCTTTGGGGTACAGCAAGAGAAGGCCCTGTCACCCATATTATGTAGATGGGCTGGAGGTACAGACAGGAAACCAGAATTAGACAGTGACACAATTAGACACCGAAGGTTGTGAGGTGGGGAGTAGGAGGAAATTAGGTCAGATAGATATTGAGGTGTCAAGCCATGTAGAGTAGGATGGGATAGGAGGAATATGATCACTTGCACAAGACTTGGTCGGGATTCTGGCTAAAAAAATTCTGGATATACTGAAGTTTCTTCAGTCTGCTCCAGAAACAACAAAACACCTTTACCTTCATTTTGGAAAATAAAACAATCCCAACATGGACGCACTAAAAACAAGATCTGAATCAAGATGTTATTAATAACTCCTGTGTGAAACAGTACTGCTTTACTTCTTTTTGAAAATGTATCCAGTGGCTCTGTAGGTCAAAGCACTTTTGTTTCACTGGCCAATTTATAGGGTCTGTTTGCCTAATGCAAGGTCCTGATCCTGGAGCTCCAGCATGTCTGCAGACTTTCTATGATTCTTTAAAGTGGCAACACTGAAAGAGTTGGAAGAAGCCATCAGTGGCCCAGTTAAGATTATTCAGGTTGTTTAGAGCCTAGCTGGACTGAGAACCTTTTGATACACTTGCCCTCCATGATCAGGATTGTGGACCCCTGGACTAATGAGATATTAAGTGAGGGACGTGCTAAAAGTCAAAATTCTAAGATTTTCTCCGGTATAAACCGAGCAGCCAGACAAGCAGTATTTCTAAAGGAGTCAAATAATTTTGCTAAATAAAGTGCCTTCTAAACAACTTGCTTGTTGTTCTCAAGATGCTGGCTTTGTCTTTATTTTCTGCAAGCGTATTATATTGCATACATTGCAAATTATCAGCCACAAAATTAATACAAATTATTAGTAGCTAGAATACCTGATGCCTAACTCCTATGGTGGGTCCTGCAATCATGGATGTTGTAACTCGTGAGTAACACACTTTACTAATTGCTCACATAATTGCTCTACCAAACTGTATGGTTGGGCACCAGTCAACGGGGGTAACCCTGCTGTGAGTCACTTTAAGTCCTCATAATTGTACAGAAACTGGGTTAAACTCTGGTTTGATGAGCCTCAATCCTGAGCAAAGACTATGGCAGATTTACAGTCATTTACAGTTCAACTAGTTGTTACCGGGGCTGTTTACTTTGTTTCACATGGTTCATACCAAGCTTTTAAAATAGAGCTATGTGGTTTCCTATTCTGTGGCCATGCCTTGCTATATTCTGCCATTTAAATTGAGCAGAGCTCAGCAAATCTGTGAAGGGATTATGTAAAGTCTGAAGTTAAAGTTTGCAGAAGGACAGCAATGGGTTACAAGGAGTCACGGATCACAAATACTCTTTACTGAGTTCTGCTTTCCTCTGTGAGTCAGATAAAGCTCTCAGGGCAGGCGGCTGGATTACTGCTGAACAGGAGACGGGCAGAATTTCAAGATACAAAACCTCTATTACGTTTTATTATCAGAAAGCCACTTATTCCCGATAAGAGTCATGGCAACCCAGAGTCTCAGGATCTCAGGATCATTGGGCACACATGCAAAATTTAGAGCTTCCAAGCAACCAGCATGTGTTTGTGAGGCAGAATGAAACCATTTTATCATGTTGTCCTTAAACACGTACAATCACAGGCAGAAGTATTAGCACCATTTATTTGCCACAGTGTTATGCGAAGTGTTGCTAAAAACTGTTTAATCTGAATCATTAATCTGAACTTTTCTCATTCATCAGTGACATCTTTTTTATTTCAAGTTTATTGAAAACAGATTCATCCGAGCAAGGAGAATTGCAGCCATCTATTGAGAAAACTAATTGAGTGACATTTTTTTCTAATGAATGGTGCCCCATCTTTTGTCTACACAGTATATCCATTTCTAAATCTGAAGTTGTTAAAATAGTTGGGGGAGGGGATAGTTTTAAAGATGCACATCATCACCTAGAATGTGTGCGAAAAAGACAAAATAAAACTTTGGTTTGCGGAAGAGAAGAATTAACCCAGGTCAGTTGGTTATTAAGGAAAACAATTATAACCTTGAGCAGTAACCCATGACTGGATGTTATGAATGCTCACCAATCACAAGGTAATTGCAGAAATCTCTGTTAACTGGAAACAACCCCAAACAATCAGCAGTTATTGTTTGAACTGTTTTTTTATGTTATACAAAGAAAGACCTTGGAGCAGAATAACAATGGACGCCTAATAATGTCTGTGATGCTATCTGTGGCAACAAGGAATGGATTGTGTTCGACGGGGCAGAAACTTCAGCTCTTTCTCTTTCCCTGGTGATGGCCAGCAGGAGTTGGCACGCAGTCAGGGACGAGAGTGGCCTTCCTTTTTGGGTGTTTTTTTTCTCTCCTGCTTGTTTCATTCCTTGTTTGTATCTTTTTTTTTTCCTCTGTCAGGCACCACAAGACAGCCCCGGGAAGGGGAGGTCCCTGGCGTGGATTATAACTTCATAAGCGTCGGCGAGTTTCGTATCCTGGAAGACAGTGGACTGCTCCTGGAGAGCGGCACCTACGATGGTATGATGGATGGTTTGGGGGCTGGGGAAAGTGAGAGAGCCAGACAGAAGGATTGTGCTGCTGTTTGTCCCCTTCATACACCTCAGAAGAGCTGCGTGATGGCTTGGCATCTGTCAACCACTGCTGTCGACTGTCTGTCCTTTCAGTGGAAAAAAAAAGTTGCTAGCACAATGTTAATGGTATCCTGCTGGGTTTAGTTGACTTAAGTCCTTGTATTGTTCTGTGAAGAGAGCTCCATCAGTGGAACCAAGTTAAAATCAATCTCAGCAAAAAAGTGATTTCACAGTGACTGGCTTTTATGAGGCGGCTGCCAGTTACCTTGACTAATTCCTGCGGATTCCTGTGCAGGTAGGAGCTGGCAGGCGCTCGGAGTAATTTTGCTTAGAAAGGCAATTTCCTTCTTTTCCATTGTACTGCAAGGCACGTTGTTCATTATGACCCGAGACTATGCAAACAAGAAGAAGGCAGACTTTAATTAAACTTTTGTGTTATTAATGATGTCATTCCCAGGGACCTTCAGGCAGTTTGTGTGCTACATCTGGTTACAATATGTTACTTACTCCACCAGGTGCTCTTAAAACAGTAATGTTGGGAAAATCAGTTTGGCAAGGTGTCTCACTCAGTTTCAGTGATTTTGACGGAGGACAGGTGTCAATTAAAGGATTCCCCTGGGACCACATGTGATCCTAAGAAGCGAGTGTATAGCCCTTCTGCTCCAGACCAACATGAAGATCATTATGATTTCTTCATTAATGAATTGTATATATCATGGATTTCCAGTCCCTCCAGCTCTTCCAAAGGTCCTTATTTCAGATATCTTTCCCTTTAATTTCTTTAAATCAGTGATTTTCAGTCCTGGTCCTGGAGTACCCAATTGTTTGCTGATTTATATTCCAACTGGGCTCTATCACTGGTACTGGTACAGATTGAAGAACCTGTAATGTGAACTGTGGAACAGAATGCATAATTACATTTTGTGCATCTTTATTTAAGCAGGTGATAACCTTGGAATCTTAATCTTATTTTCTGGGGCAGCAAAGGACCTCCAGTCTTTTTATTGTTGGTATCAAGTTCTTTATTGGGACACTAACGAAATCACATTGTTTTCACAAGTGGAGGCATGTTTATGCATTTGCTTGCAGTTGTCTAAATTGCAATTTTGGCCTTGTGCCTTTCAGAGATTGCACCTGTTTTCTTCCTGGCAGGTTCCGCGATCTTGATTTTTACTCAATAAGACCTGTGCCACGTTTGTGATTACACTGAGTCTCAGCAGACCAGTGCCCTTGATTGTGATGAAGAGTGCCTCCTCCTTTCTGGGGTACGGATCAATAAAGAGAAAATAAATTCAAATACACGCATTCCTTTTACTTGAAAAACACTTAAGGAGGGTCAGTGTTGTGATGGCTTATTGGAACAGCCGGAGGAATATGTCTTTGAGCTGAATCTATGCAGAAGATAACCAAACAACTGAGACTTTATAAACACTGCTTTAATTACAGAGCAAGGCAAGTGGCTGATGGAACCACTGATCGAGACTGAGTTATTGTGAGCTGTCTGTGACAGGCATCACTACTGCCATGTTAAAGTAAGCAGCCCTGACAGAGAAAAAGCCTGTGATGCATAAAAGAGAGGGGGCACAAACACAGAAGCACCTAATACTGTAGCTTGGTCTGTGTTCATAAAGGGTGAACTGCACACTGGCCAGATATTTCTACCACAGGTATTATTTTACAGTCTGGACAATTGTATTATCGTGGGGTTCTCATTTTAACATAATGGGGTATCCCCTAAATCTTTTTGTTTGGGGGCCTTCACTGGGTTACCGCTTGAATCACTGGCAAAAATAGTGTGGCAAACACTTGTATTTAATGAAAAGGCCTGCAGTCTGGAACTCAAAGACGGTTGCTGGAAAAATAAGATTTTTCTGTATTTCCACTGCCAGTTCCTGCCCCTGTTTTTTGGGAGTCTGAACCCAGAACTCTGCCATAAATGTACTGTATGAAAAATAAAACAAAACAAAACAAAGCGGGCTCAGCCAAGAGCAGAACTGCAAGTGACCGCATTAGTTAACAAAATGGTAAAGACGTTTCTGTCGCCAAGCTGATGCAGGGACTGAGCCTGGACTAATCGATCCAAGTGCCCCAGTGCTGTGGTAAACAAACTTCAAAAAATGAGGTGGGTCCAGGGGGTGACAACTGCAACAAAGAAATATGCACCGTTAGGAGATTTGTTTCGGCCTGTGTTTAGAAAGTAGTTGAATAGATGCATATTAAAATGAATGGTTTCAAGATTCCAAAATTCAAGATTCATGACATATTAAAATGAACACCTCCTTCACATATATCATTATAGTCTAGCTTTCATGAGAACGTAAGACATAAATAAGCCACCCAGTCCATCAGTGCTCAACATTTTCCTGTGCTCTGGCTGTATCCATCACAACCTCAGGCCTGGGTGTGAATCTTCCCAGCTTCTCTGCCTTCACTATGTGTTAAATAGTTTCCCAGTTACGTCCCCATTATCCTGCTCATTGATTTATAACTTGTAACCTCTGTAGGGATCTACCGTACATATTTGCTTTCAGTGTTTAAAGACCCCAGTAAGATCCCCTCGCTCAAAGACAGAAGAGAACATTTTCCTCTGGCCTATTTTCATAACTCATTCCCTCAAGCCCTGAAATACGTTTTGTTCATTTTCTCTGGTCTTTCTCCAGTGTTTCCCAATCCCTATTTTAAAGAGGTAAGCAGTACTTTATACACTGGAGATATGCTTTAACTAATGCATTGCACATTTTCAACATACCCTCCCTTGATATTTTTCCTTTTGATTGTTTTTTTTTGTGTTGCACGGGTCCCAAGAGGGATAAATATAATGCAACCTCTAGGCCTTTTTCACACTGTGAAATTTCTAATTTTACACCTCTTTTGGTGTAAGCATGTCCATTCTAATCTATATAGAAAACTTTACATTTACTAACACCATTTGATTTCACTTCCCATCTGTCTTTTCCCTTCTAAAGCCTATCCAAACATTCCTACAGCTAAGAAAATGTTTGTAAGCCCTTTTGAATCATCTATATTCTTGCATTAATTGCTCCTAAAATGTGATCTGATCTTCATATCAGTCATAACGATAAACACACACAACCCGACTTAACAAAACACCAACAATTGTTCTTTCTTCTTGTCTATGTTGAACACATTGTTTATAATTCACAGTCTATGCTGGAAACAGAATGTGAACCTCTAGGATCCTGAACTCTATTAAAGGGGGTAATTGGTGTCAGACGTTCCAATCAATGAGATGACATTCAGATGGAAGTTTGATGCACTCCCTTATAAACCCCCCCACAATGTTTGGTTACCAACAGAATCTACTCTTCACAACACAGAGATTTCAGAGGAGCTCAGAAGAAGAGTTGTTGATGTTCATAAGGCTGGAAAGGCCTCTTTCAATCACCAGTCGGGCAGATAGTGTATAGATGGAAGGCATTCAGTACCATTGCTACTCTCCCTAGGCGTGGTCATCCAATAAAGACAATTGAGCCGTCCAGTGGTTAAGGAGGTGACAAAGAACCCTACTGTAGTGTCTCTTGCACTGGCACTGGTTAATGGCTGTGTTCATGAGTCCACAATAAGAAAAACACTGAACAAGAGTGGTGTGAATGGGGGAATACCACAGAGGAAACTGCTGCTCTCCAAAAAAAACAACATTGATGTTCATCTCAAGTTTGCCAAAGACCACCTGGATTTTTCACAAAGCTACTGGAACAATGTTCTATGGACCGATGAAAAGGAAGTGGAACTTTTCGCAATAAATGCGCAACTTTGTTTGGAGGAAAAAAAACCTCATCTCGCTGTGAAGCATGGTGGAGGGAGCAGGGGCTGCTTTGCTCTGCCTCAGGGCCTGTCCAGCTTGCACTCGTTTAGGGAACAATTAATTCCAAATTGTAACAGCAGATTCTCCTGGAGAATGTCAAGGTATCCATCCATGCTCTGAAGGTCAATAGAAGGAGATTATGGACCAGATGGACTCCTACCACTCTTTCCAATAGAATAGCTGGAACAAAGGAAGTTTTGCATTTTGGAGTTGCCTAGTCAGAATCCTGTCTTTACTTCAGTTGAAATGCTGTGGTATGACCTGAAGCAAGCCATTCATGCAAGACATCCCAAAATGCTTTTTAGAGATTGCACCTGTTTTCATGCCTGGCAGGTTCCGAGATCTTGATTTTTACTCAATAAGACCTGTTCCACATTTGTGATTACACTGAGTCTCAGCAGACCAGTGCCCTTGATTGTGACAGAGTTCCTCCTCATTTCTGGCCTGCTGATCAATAAAGAGAGAAGAAATATCATCAATGAAAAACATTTAAAAAATGAATTGAAACAGTTCTGTAAAGAGGAATGGGACAAAATACCTCCAAACCCATGTGCAGGACTCATTATTATCTCCAGGAGTCATTTGGTTGAGGTCATTGCTGCTAAATGAGGTTACTAAATCTAAAGGTTCACATACTTTATTTTTCCACCATTGGCAATTAAATGTTCAAGCAGTATATTCATTATAGGAATGAAAAAGTACAGTTGTTTGTGTGTTGTTTGTTTAATCAGATTGTGTTTATTATTATGACAGAAATGAAAATCAGCTGACATTTTAGGAGCAATTACTGCAGGAATACAGACAATTCCAAAGGATTCACAAATTGGTTCTCGCCACTGTATTTTGACTTATAGTACAGTACCTATGATTGTTGGCAATTCCAGAGCCATATACTGTATGTATATATGAAAAAAAGCAGCTATACCAGCATGCAGGCTTTCAGGATACCACAACACATATTGCCTAATGGAGATGCTTCCCTTCATGCTATTAGCTTCTCTGTTTTGAATGCATCTGTATGTTGCACCATTAATTCCAGCAGCTTTAACTTGAAGAATAAGCTTCTCGTCAGGAATATAGTTGAGTAGTAGCTGAAGCAGTAAAAGTATTTGTGCTTTTTTCAGTGTTTTTACACAGCTGCTTTTGTTAAGCAAGTAAAACCCATCCAGACCATCCTCAATTACAGCATTTCTGTACAAATTGGACTTTAGCTTGTCCTAATAGTAGCGTATAGAAGTTTACACAATATGCATGTTAAGTTACCTCATTCAGTACATTCCTCTTTTTGTAGCAGTGGGTGTAACAGTGACACGTTCATTAGTGTAGACATCAATGAAGTAGTTATTGAGCACATTTGCAATGTCCTTTTCAATGTACTCTTTTGCCCCTAAAATTGTTAATGCATTTTACCTACTCCTTAATCTTTTTCCCACTAAAAGACAGAATAAAAGCATTTATTTTCAGCAATAGCACATTTTCTAGCTTCCTTTTTTGTTCTTATTTTCCTTTTCACAACAGATGGCATATTATGTATGATTTTCTCTTTTATTGACTTCCAAGTTAGTTCATGTCAGTTCCACAGTTTTTCTCAATCACACTTTCTTAATATAACTGTCCTTTTTTTAGTCTGATACAGCACAGAGGAGCGTATAATCGGTGGATAGATCAGGACACGGAATGTGTCAGCTATTCTCCTGTGTGTGAGTCCTAGTTCTGCTTCTTCAAAAAGCTCACTTGACCCTGTGCCATTTGATTATGGACCAGACAGACTCCTACCACTCTTTCCAATATTGATTTTAGTTTCTGTGCTTCAGAGGTAGATAGGGACGTTACCTGGGTATTAGCAATGTTCTCTTTTGGCTGCTTGCATATTTTTTTTCTATTTTTGAAGAGCTGCCAGCTCTACAGTTTATCGTCAGCAAGCATTTAAACAGCCTCCCCAGGACCATATTAATTTAGCAGACAGAGACCTTTTCAAAAAAGATGCACTAGCCAAAAAAAAAAAAATGTTTTCACAATGGTATAGAAATGTCACATTGCCAGGAAAAAAAAAGCCTGGCAAGAGTCTGTGCAGCTCCAGTGAGCGTTCTGATGAATGCTCCGTGCTGCCAGGACTGTGGGGAACTGGAGGCTGCTTCATTTGAGGTGCAAAAGCTGAGACAGACTGCCCTCCGGAGTGCCAGGTCAGTGTCTGCAGGGGCCTGTTTGTGCACAGGGTTGCTGTGTGCTTAATGAGCACTTCTCCTCTCTGCAGAATCAGACGTGAATAGGCCCGATGCAGAGATTGAATCCCCTCCCCCTCTGAGTGGAGACATGGTTGTGTGAGTGGTCTAGCACGGTAGTGATTGGAAACGTCTGAGAGACTTAAAGGCAGCACTGGGGCCCCCTCCCCTCCCCTCCCCTCCCAAAGTGATCTCGTTTCTCCCAGCAGTTCAAAGACGCGCTGCCCAGGTAAACTGGACAGTCCTGCTTCATGTCTGGGGTGTATTGCGGCCTTGCATCTACTGCCTGCTGGATTAGGCTATGGCCCTCCTCGGGCCTCTAAGGATAAAGCAGCTGCTGAAAAGGGGTGGATGCAATAACTAATAACAGCAATCACCTCTCCTCTTGATACATTTCACAGACTGCAGTGAAAGATGAACCATGACAAAGCGTGTTACAAATCTTTTTTGAATTATTTGGTCCCCCCCCCCCCACCTCCTATGTTTTCTAATGTACATTCATCTGCAGCTTCAGGCTCTGTGTTTATGAGCAATTAATCATACCAAAGCGACATGTTGATAAATGTCTCCCGTGGCTGGAGTCAGGCACAGATTACAGAGCTGGTCTTACCTTTCATCTTGATCACTGAACCCTTTTATAATAAAGTCATCTCTGAGAAATGCAAATGGTTGTCTGCATGTCAGGCTCTGACACTCTGAATTGCACATTAAGATTGGAGGAAGGCCTTGCAAACCCAGCTCATTCAACAATTTCTTTCACTGCTAGTGAAATCAACACAGATTTATTAACCCAGTATCGTAGATCAGATGCAAAGTTGGGAGTGTAGCCAGTGCCTGGAAGATAGTTATTTCCCAGACTTTATTTCAGTAACACTGAAGGCTGACACACAAAACACTGATTCAGATGTGCTACAGGGGACTGCTGCCAAGCATCCGTATGGTTTAATATTACTGAATGTTGAAATCTCAATGAAAGCCACTTTTTTAAGACTGATTTCCTTCTTGGCTTACTTTGTTTAGCAGTGACACTAGGAGAGGTGAAATATTTTTTTACTATTAATGTTTCATTAATTTCCCCTTTATTTTGCCTTAGTATTTGGACTTCTTAATTCAATTTTGACTCATACTGTACAACCTACCACTCCAAGACCTGGAATTTGCTCATTATTTTTATTGAAAGTGCCCTGTAGCAATTTATTTTTGAAGGGTGTTATACCGAATAAGAATTTGCCCTGGATTCATCTTGTCAGTATTGCTGCTTGACTCACGGTGCAATTTGTTCTTTACAGTGAATAGCTTTGTGATATTCAAATACGTTGCTACCCCTAGTGTGTTAATTTGATAGAGTTGAAGGTTCACTAGTTATGAATTAAATTAAAAAGACAAATTCCCTGGTGGAATCTGTTTTGTATACATAAATTAGGGGGTTTAATCAAGGGTATAATTAATTTTAATTAAGGGTTTCATGTATGAATAAATTAAATTCAGAACCATCCCTTTTATGAGATTTAATGTAAACTAAATCTCTGACATTTTAATACACCAAATTAGACAACAATTTCCTTTATTTAGGTTGGTGATATTTCTGTTGAAAGACAGCAAGCTGAAGGCAACATTCATCACAATGCTAACGCTGTGGTCTCCCAGATAAGAAAACATGGCAATGAGGTTATTAAAGTGACACATACTGTCAATCTTTCAGGTTGGCCATTTAAAGGAAGACAAAGAGGAAATGCTATGATAATTGTAATTTGTTGATCAGGTTATGTTAATAGTCATGAGTGAAAATAGAAATATGGCTGTCATTGTTTTGTAATTTCTGTATAAGTGAAACACCTTGAAACAATAAGACTAACAGCTTCCAAAATGACAGACATTAGGAGTGATTCACAAGTTGTGGCTTTGAGTCCCACTAGAGTCAAATGTGACTTATACTGTAAGTGTATATCAATTTCAGGCCATTAGCTCAAGGTGTGTGTAGTAAGCTATGGGAGATTTTGATATGCAGAATTTGATAGTGAATATGTAGTGGGCTTCTGAAACTTGTTTTAAAATTGTACTCATATGATGTTGGTTAAATCGTTCCAAAAGAAATGTTTACATTAAGATATGTTCATTTTCCCAGAGATTTGATTTAAAGAGCTTACTATGTGTCCCTGTCTCCGTATTTCACAGTGTTAATGGTGGATGCTATTTTCAAGCAGTGTGATAAACAGACTGTGGTGTGAAGTGGTTTTCAAATACAGCCATGAGCTATTTGCTGTTGTGAAACATTCTGAGCCAAGGATGTCGGTGTCAGGGCCTGTTCTACTGTGTACCACACAGTGGATCCATGTGTCCGCTGATTTTATGCAAAAATTGAGTATTTTCTGTAAAACAGTTTTCCTGGAATCCTAAAAGAAACAGGTGCATGTCAAACTTGGATCAATTTGTTTCTAGCAGCCAGTTCTCACGCTCTCATTAAAATAAAACAGATTTGTATTTACACTCTTAGTTTACAGTTGTAATGATCATATGATTTGGGAAACTGTAATCGGTAAGAATAGCAAATGTATCATTGTATCATACAGAAGGTATTGACTGCAGTGAATTTGTTTTCCATCTGACCTTTGTCAGTGGAAGAGTCTGACATCTCATAACATGTAAGTTCCAAGTTTAGCAGAGTTTAGTAAAAGTGCATGCTCTCTCATCTCTCTGAAACATGAAAAAAGGAAGATTGCAGAAGGGGAGGGTGTAACACCATGTGGAACTATGTCATGGTTCAAGGATGGGTAGGATTCTACTAGCATTTTGTTTCCTCTTCCTGTTCATAATCCTGTATATTTCGTACGTTTGGTCGTGTGCTATTTTCAGCACTACAAAGAAACGCGTAAATCACGTTGATTACTTACTGTGTGTGGTTTCAGGCAACTACTACGGCACTCCCAAGCCCCCAGCAGAACCCAGCCCGGTGCAGCCTGACCTGGTGGACCAGGTTCTGTTCGATGAAGAGTTCGACCCCGAGGCCCAGCGCAAGCGCACCACCTCTGTCAGCAAGATGGAGCGGAAGGACAGCGCAGCCCCCGAGGAAGAGGAGGAGGAGGAGAGGCCAATGGTCAATGGGCTGACAGGTCAGCTTGTGGTCTCTCTTCATCTCTGAGCTTTCAGCTCCAGCTTGAATGTCCTCATTCAGTTCGCACTTCACACTCATCGCCAATCGTTTCCGTTTCTTCCTAGCATTTTTGTCAAAGGTGCTCTGCACCCCAAGATACAACTCAAGCCAATCAAAGGACCCCAACAATAAGTGTTTTGATAGTGTGGCAGTGTCATCTGAATGTTACACTTGTATAACTTTGACATTTAATACAAATGTCTGAGGTGCTTTTACATATCGAAAAGCACACAAACATTACATTTTGAATGGTAATTTTCCACCTAGATTTTCTTTGAGTCCCAGAAAGACAGCTGACATGACATGAAAGAAACATGACAGGCGTAAGACAGCTGGTCATCTTAGTAAAATAGGACGTATTTCCTTCACTTGTTGCTGACTGTACTGTACCTATCGATAACCTACAGTTTGACCTTTTTCCTACCTCTTCTCTCTGACCTCTGACCTTTCAGTTGTCTTGGTAGAAGAGAAAGCATTGGGGTTCCTCGACACAACTGATCTTTTACTGCCTCATGCTGTAAAGGAAGAGGGGGATTATGAGGGAACCAGGAAAATGCAAAGCCAGATTCTTAAGCACCACTGCTACAATATCAAATTGCTGATAAAGCCAGATTTTCCATATTGAAATATCCCTCTTCAACTTGAATAACCTGGCAGAAACAAAAGTATGGCAATGCTGAAACCACAGATTTGACAAATACAAAACAGCTATTCCAGAATCCTGATTGAAAATATTTCATGTGTTAATCTGCATCTGCAGTTAGACTCGCAGCGCTTACCACTACCCTCATGCGAACTCTTTTTAATGGATGTGGTCTTGCTGAGAGCCCTTCCTGTTTATAAGGCCAGCCCTGATGAGCTTGATGTTTGGTTTGGAGCTTGAAATGCCTTCTCGGAGTCAGAGTCATAGCCTGGAAACGCCACACACAACAGGCTCCTTTGCTGCTGGGCAATGCAAATCATGCTCTGGACAGCAGCCATCTTTAAACCTGAGTAAACTGTTTCTTCCCAGCCACCAGACCAAAGGGCAGCTCACACACAAAACCTGCATTAAATAGTGGTTAAAACATCCACCCATTCACATTCAATGCTTTTGGTATTGTTTGTCCAGATATCAGCTGGGAGAAAACCAAATATTATCAGCCTTCCTAGTCAAAGAAAAATGAATAACCTGTAAGAGCGGTATTTGCTTTGGGCTGTGTACATACTGCATTTGTGAAATGCTGGTAGGAAGAAAGGCCGACCATATGTATGAGGAGTTTTGGCTCCTTAAGGGAAAGTTAAACCACATGTAGGCCATTTGTAGTTTATTTTCATATGTGAGGTGCATAGGGTACAGAAATGATGGCACTTTCTGCCAGGAGAACAGTATCTGAGAATTGCTATGCCTGCTGTGTAACTGTGCTGCAATGTATTGTACCTTTACAAACGACTATCCTATTGCACGGTGTTTGAAGGATGTTGGTAGGCATAATTTTAAGGCCTCTGTCGCTATACTTTAACTTGTTTTTCTCCAAGTATCATTTAGGTCATGGCGATCATGCCAAAGCCTGCAGTATCCTGCAGGAGTGCCCCAGTTTAGACTGATTTGATGGAATCCATTGAGAAATGCAAGAGATCAGGTTGTAATGTCTCGTCATGTCGACCCTAGCAATGTTCTTGCAACATTACATACTGGAGTCATCACAGCTGTATTTTTATTTAGTTTTCTATTTGACAGGGACATAAACAACAGCTTTCAGAGGCCCGCATTGTTGTCTGAGCCTGTTTTTTACTTTTCAACACATGGAATGCTGTGTGTGCAGATGACTGTGTGTGGTATTACTTTTCTTTGAAATATAGTTGCCTCAGATGTAAACTTGTATTTTAAATTTGGGTTATATTCCAGCACTAAGGTCAGTTAAGGAAAAACACCCTAAATTCCGTCAGATTTTCCTTTCCAAACACTTCTTCTGATATGCATGACATTTCTGAATTAGTGGTTTGGAATTTGCTCGTACTGTATATTGGTTCTGGTGAAGTTAAAAGGAGACAAACCCTCAATGCTCACTGCCATTCCCGAGCACAGGAGGTAGCAAAACCAATGAAAATGAGGTGCCTTGGGCTCTCCAGGGTAGCTTCACCATTAAAGCCTCAGTGCAGTGAGGTCTTATGATCCAGATGTTGCCTGTTTGAACCTGGGCTGTGCCCGTGTCCGTCAGTGCCTGGGATTCCCCAGACTGCAGAGCGCTGCAAGGGTGTGATGAGCGTGATTCAGCCAGCATGCACAGCAGCAGCAGTGAGCTTGGCAGTGGATTCGGTGATAAATGTACTGCTCCTCCAGTCAGTACTAACAGTCTTGTACGGAGCTCAGAGATCACAGCACCTGGAGTGATGAATGGCTCTGAAGGGTGGGCATGTCGGAGGAGAGCACACGCGTGCAGCGTGGAGGCTGTAGTGGCAAACAGAGGAGACTCACAATTGGCAGTTCCGCTTTTGGAGAGTAGAGAAATTGTAGGCAACTGACAAAAAATATAAAGAGAAAAATAAAATAAAAGGTTTCTGGAAGACGGCAGAATGGAGGAGAAAATAGTTTTTGCCCAGGGTTTGCAGTATGTAGGTCTCAAGGTTTTATTCCTTTTCAGGTCCTAGCAATACCTTGCAGTAGTTTCTCACAAATTAAATAAAATGTCCTATTGTTAATTTTCTTTATTGATTTCTCTACAGATCGTCACTTAAATAGGGGTTAATTGTAACAGTGGATTATTATCATCATCATCATCATCATTATTAATAATAATAATAATTGCTTACACTTATAGCG